TATATTCGTGTTTTATTCAACGAAGCGAGAACAATAATTGAACGAGGTGTCGGTGAAGCGTATCCAGGTAGAAGCGACGAGAAATACGACAAAGCCCTTCAATAAATAGGACAACATATAAAGCATCAGTAGTATGCAGTTACAACGGTTTACTGTAAATCTACACTATAGGGAGAAGTTCGATGAATCCCACGATAGATTTTAATTAAATTTCCGCGGGGCTCGTCTAAACGTTGGCTCTTCTTCTCACGATCGAACTCGCGAGTCTCTAACGTTCATCGTAAAACTAGACACACGTACATAAACACACACACACACACACATATATACGTACACTTATATGTATATATAATACATTCGTAGATAAATAGTTAGAGTGTATGTAAGAACACGTAAGAATATATCGTGTACCCTTGACACGATCAGTTGGATCGTTGCCTCGCGCAATTAAAGAGCCATAGCAAAGAGACATACGTTATTAAGTCTAAAGTAAGTACTTATATTCGTAAGTAAATCTATACGTAAGATATATATATATATATACATATATATATAAAATATTAATAAAAGAAAAAAAAATTAGTAATATAATTTTCTACAAAGGAAACTTTTGTGTTCTTTCTCATCCTTCGTTTATTTCTTTTCAAAAGTAAACCACGATATTTCCTTTGGTTTCGATCTTGGATATATGGTACGCGATCGTTGACCGTGCCGAGATATTTGCCTCAACGGAATTTGGTTAGACCACTTTTCTGCCGGCTTTTCAATACCTCGTTCCCCGTTCCTCGTTCCTCCAACGACACGTGGGCAATCTCTGTTCATATGTCTTCTCTCCGTGCCTCTATCTCTTTCAGTTTCTTTAAAAAGTCGAATATGATGTGTGGGTGTATATAATATATACATACATACATACATACGTACGTACATATATCTGTATGTATATATGCATGCATCTGTCGGCATGTATATGTGGATGAGCACAACACTCTTTGCAATTGGCAAGGGAGACAAATGCGACGGGACAGAAATTGGCTGTGGCAAGTTGAACAGAAGAGGGACTCAGAGGAGAAGAAGAAGAAGAAGAAGAAGAAGAAGAAGAAGAAGAAGAAGAAGAAGAAGAAGAAGAAGAAGAAGAAGAAGAAGAAGAAAAAGAAGAAGAAGAAGAAGAAGAAGACGAAGACGAAAACGAAGAAGTAGAAGAAGGAAAAAAAGAGGAAGAGGAAAGAGAGACAGAGAAAAGGT